GAAGAACTAAACAGATCTTTCTCATATTGCAATGATCGATTCTATTTCTTTCACATTAAGTACTGTACTAGTAAATATGTGAAATGACAAACTCACTTTGAAGGTTGGCTTTCATACACATCAGTATTAAGTTTAGATCAAAAGTTACCTCAAGGTGCATTTACTGTTAACATGACTCAATCAAACAGATTAGAGGAAAGAAGAGAAAAGATCGAACTGACAAAGAACTAATGAAGATGGTACAAAGGTGGGCGCCAAGATCCCTCTGGGATCTCTTGTTTGAACATGCAGAAACTGTGACCCTTACATCTAACCTAAAATACAATGTGAAAATGATATCAGTTGTAAATTTGACAAAAATAGACTGAAAATCTGAAATGGTTAAAGACAAGGGAAGGGGGTAAGGATGAAAATTAACTTTGCTGTTAAACAACTGATTTCAGTCTCAATGTAGACAGTATGGTATATACAGAGCTGACTGGAATATATTACCCTACCCAGAAAATGCCTTTGAATATTAACAAAGGAAACATCTGTTGCCTAGTTTTATAGCATTAAATACAATGTGGGTGTGGCCTATACTGTGTAAGTACCATACTTTAGATTATAGTATTGTTGACCTTCAACCTACTCACAATTCAATAACAAGCTAAAGTGTAGAATTAACAGCTTTACCGTGAATGCCAACATTATGAGTAGATCTATGTTGCTCTTGCATGGTATCGTCAGACACATGTTAGTCTATGAGGAATATGTGGCACATACATATAAAAACAATTATCAGAGTACTTTAGTAGATCTAAACTACTCGTAAGTAGATCTATATATTAGTTATATAACATTTTTAACTGTAATATTAATTTGGTGTATTTTCAAAGAATTTATAACACTTGTATACACTTACAGTGTATATTGATGCTTACCAAATTTCGCACTTTTTGGTATCAAAATAGTATTTGTTTAGACATTGCTTTTTAGCTAAAAATGATCTTTATCATATTTCGTACAAATATATTTTGTTTTAGTTTGTGGGTAAAGCTCCTGAACTAGAAGTCCTTATAAAAGAGAGAATTTGGCCATGTGGTTAATACAGAGTAGAGCTACGTTATAGCTATTTACTCTATTTAATAATTGTCCTCCCTTTCTAGGATACATGTATGTGTCTGGTGGGTTGTAGATTTAAATCTCCCTCCATTTTGAAGTCATGAGGTCATACAAAATATCCTTACGTGGGAGCCACAAGCCTCTTGTTATCTTGTCCTAATTGAGAACTTGAAAATAATATCCTATACGTCTACATAAAATTTACCAACCTCAAATTTTACACATACATAATGTAATGTACATGTTAATTTGAGGTTGATAAATTATAGACTTTTATTTAAATAAATCTTTTATTTCAGCATCAGAAGAATTGTCAATGGGTGGAATGAGGTTCACAACCTTTGATCTTGGAGGTCATCAGCAAGGTAAGAAATTTTTAAAAAGTTGCACTATTTTCCTATTCAGGTATACATACCATACTATGATTTCTTAAGTTTTGAAGTATCTAAATATATTCTTTTTCAACTTACTGTTCACTGAAGTAAAACGTTACGTAGGGTTTAGCCAGAAATCAGTTCCTATGCAACACACATAATTTTAGCTCACTACCCAGGGTATGTCACCTCAATGTCACAGAGGTCAAAAATGTCAAATACTTAAAACGACTTCTTCTGAAGAACTGAAAGGTATGGAATCTTAATATGTGGCTGGTAGCTTCGTTGGTAAAATCCTAACAAAATTTGAGAACAAATTGACCTTGACCCACTTTCAAAAACACAGGTCAAATATGTCAAACTTATCAAACAACTTCTTCTGAATAATCAAAATGCATGGGATCGTATTATTTGACTGGTTGCTTTTTGAGGTTTAGCCTGACAATGTTTGTGAATGAAAATGACCTCAGTCTACTTTCAAGGTCACAAGGGTCAAATATGTCAAACACTTCAAATTACTTCTTCGGAATAATCTAAAGGCATAGAATTATAATGTTTGGCTGGTAACTGTCACAGATGGAGCCCAACAAAGTTGGCTATTTAAAATTACCTCAACCCACTTTTATGGTCACCGGGGTCAAGTATAGCAAAAACTGCAAACAGCTTCTCTAGAAGTGGAGTCGTTATATTGGACAAGAAGACTCCATAGAAAAAGTTTGTGACTGAAAATGACCTTTACCTAATTTATCCTATTGCTTTATTTTAATCCAATTAGGATATAGAGTATGATTCAATGTTCAATGGGGACAGGAGAATGGAACCCAATATGGTAAAGGTGCTGCTGAGAGACAGAGCCAATATTTGGAAATATTTGTAGTACAGTATAATATTCATATAATATTTTGCTTAAATATCCAGGTGAGCAATACAGGCCCTCTGGGCCTCTTGTGTTCATAATAATTGAGTGATTTTGATGATGAGAATGTTGTGTTTTTGCCAGCTCGACGGGTGTGGAAAGACTACTTCCCAGCAGTAGATGGCATCGTATTCCTCGTGGATGTGTGCGACAGAGAAAGATTTGCAGAGGCAAAAGCAGAATTAGATGTAAGTTAGGGGTGAGAATTGAAGCCTTTGAAATGGACAACTATGTTTTTTTTAAGTGTTAAAATCTTCAATAACCTTAACTCATGTTGCTTCCGTCCTATTCAAGTTTGCTTTTTTACCCAGACTTACGAACCATTGATTGTAGACGATATTTCGAAGAAATGTGATTTTAACCATAAAGGTCTGCAGAGTTTTCAAAGTTGTTGATAAACCTTTTTGTTGATGCAGTAGATTTTCTATGAACTCATTTGTGTCAAAAAAGGATTTTTATACAGGATCATGGTTTGATAGATACAGAGGTCATATGTGAAGATATGTTGTGTTTGCAGAGTTTATTAACAGACGAACAGGTAGCTCATGCTCCTGTCCTGGTCCTCGGAAACAAGATTGACAAAGCTGGTGCAGCGAGCGAGGATGAAATCAGACACTGGTTTGGTCTTCATGGCCAGACAACAGGCAAGGTATGTACTTGTCTGTACAATCTGGTATCTTTGACGTGTGGAAATGGTTGATTGACAAGGCACATGTAACATGTACAATATGTGACCTTGTAAAGTTACAAATTAGTGCATTATCCTTTCCAATGATACTAGGCTATGTTTAAGCTCATGATAATTGGTTTTAACTATATGCAATGTATAGCAAAATTATTTCAGCTTGGATTTGAAATGATTACATTTCCTTTGGTTAAACGAAATATTTCCTGATCTACATTTAGGCTACAAATGTATTTTGAGGAGAATCATGATTGTCTCAATAACGTAACATTTATTGGTAATTAGTCCCCCACCAGGACTGCAGGAAGGGATTTTTGTTTTCGCTCTGTCAAGTCCATGCAACACTGTCCTATATACTCAATCACCTACAATTCAAAAATTGACTCAAGTAGGAACCCCTTTGGAAAAACATACTGTCAATTTTTCTAAACTTTACAGGGTACAGTTGCAAGAAAAGAGCTTCCTGGACGTCCGATGGAGTTGTTTATGTGTTCAGTACTGAAGAGGCAGGGGTACGGAGAAGGATTCAGGTGGCTGGCTCAGTATATCAATTAAGGCTGACAAACTCTAGGACCTATTTTTTTTTTAAAGTTTTAATATTTTGGATGGATAAGTACGAGAAGAAACCAACTTCTGCATGTTTTCTTGAGACATTGTATGGTAGCTACCTGGATGATAAGAGGAGTTAAGCTGTTTTCTACCACCTGTATGGCGTTAGATGTGTATGACATAGGTAGAGGTTTGGTGTGGCGTGTGTATGGATGTTGTAATAATGTGATGGGTGACAGATTCTCATTTTCTCTCTTGCTATTTCCAAATTATTTCAATCCCATGGCTGATATTTCCAGTTTAATCTAAACTAGCCCAGTCTCTCTTTTCTGATTTGTTTGTTTTTACTCAAGCAGTATCCTTTGTAATACCTATTCTACCCTGTTTTTATCATCATTGGCAGTTATAAAATCTCTAGGCCTACCTATTTGTTCATCCCCTTTATCTCAGATAAGTGGATTTTAGCAGATTAAAAGAAACAGGACTTTGGAGGTCAAAGTTGTACACCACACAAGTGTATTGAAAGAGAAAAATATAGGGAAAAATGCATGAAAATTACCATTTAAAGGGCAAACATTTCCTATAAATTTGGATTGAGTGTGAAGTTGTTGTTTAATGTCAGGAGTGTTTGAATTAATGTTTTCTCTCCAGTACCATTTTGCCTTGTTATAAATGATAACTGAGAGATGCATTATCATGAATTAATTTCTTTAAAAAGCCATCTATTAAAACTTCATCAACAGTAATGTAATTTAATTGTAAAAACCGAAAAGGCAAACAATTGTACTTGCTATCAAAGGAATACAGATGATTGTGTTGCGTCAAAACATTTTTAATGAAGTCATCATTCATGATTTGTTATCAATTTATTGAAACTGTTGTTATTACAATAATATGTATAATATTTAACAAGATTATGTTTTGCATAACCAGCTTATATGTAGATCAAGTCCGTGGTTTATTAAACTATTTGAAGAATTTTAAAACTATCATTAAATTCTCCGTGGTGATTGATATATAGCCCCCGAAGAAATATACTCATTACAAGATCTTCGTAGATATGTTGTTGTTGAAATACGTAATGTTCATGAAGCATTGTGAATTACTTGTATGGACACAAGAACAGATGGGTTCTCACGTCAGTTTGTCAAGCTTCTATTTTCTAACCATGACAGAGGTGGAATTTGATGAAGTATACATGTATTATATGGATAAGATTTAAAGGGGATTCACTCAAAAACCTGTGAGTATAATATCATCTTGATGTCTTTAGGCCAGATGTGTTTATGTTTCTACAGAAAATAGGGATTGAGTTCATGTTTTACCAACATATCTTAGTTATATCCCTTTTGAACACTTCGGTTATATAAGTCAAGTTTTTTGATCAATCAGTAATATTTAATATTTTTCGGTAAATGCCACTTAATGACATTTGTATTTTACATTTTTACATTTTCTGTCTCCGAAAATGTCAATATTTATTTGGTTTGTAACCTTTACCAACTTTGATTGGAAAAAACAGTAAATTTATCTAGTACATGGACTATCGATTAAAATATGTGTATTTGTAAATATGTATTTGAACCATCTGCACTCAAATGTCCATCCCAAAGTTTTGATTGTGAACTGAATACAGAGAAATGGATTATTTATTAGAGAAGATCTGCTTTGTGATTAAAGATGCATATCTAATAGATTAAAACTAATTTTTAGAACATACAGATACATGTAAACAAATATGCGACCAAATAAACATTTTCTTAGGGAACATTGCTAAAGACCTTTTTTAACAGACCTACAGATGTGGCCAAATTAATTTGATGATACTATTTCATTGTAAAAATTGCTTATAAGTATTTAGACTGAACATAAATTACATGCTTAAAATCTTGCCAGCTCTTTAAAAAATATGTTGGACAGATCTGAATTATTTAAATTATTACTGTCCATATTTAAGTTTTGATTCGACCATGTCTAAACTTGCTGGTAGGGGTTCATTATTTTGGTAATTGGTAGAACTCTCTCTCATGTTCATCTTTCTTTATTTATATTTAGTCTGATATTTAGCTACCTGGGTAAAACAACATATTTGGCAATTAAATGTTATTTTACTATCACTGTGTTGCATACAATCTTTTGGAATGACAAGATGTGAATAAAGTGATTTGTAATAAAGTAGACATTTTGTTGTTGTTGTTTGTATACATCAGTCCACAAATACGGTAGATTGATACTAAAGGGATAATGATTGAAAGTAGTATAATTTACTGAAGAGTTGCCAAGGTTTTCCAAGCCTGCATACATCCTTTAAGGAGGCTCCACCCTTTCGCAATTAACTAGCAGAATTTGTTGGTTATGCAACTATGAACAGGCGATTTTATGAAAGTCTAAGCATTCCGATTGACTTGGAACAATAACAACGGCAAAAATGGAAAGAAGCATTGCTAATTAGCCCTACAAATATTTCGTTTATCACAAAATATGTGAAACACGTTACACAAAGTGTTTTTTTTATTGAAATTGTATGGATAAAAGAGATTATCTACAAGCTAAAAGCAAACAGTACACACAGTTTCAAATTATAATAGTGAAAAAATTGAACAAAATATACACGGGGGCTTTATAATCCATTCTCGATATCGGCTGTTGACATCATAAAGGCATGTGAACCATATTTTACCCAGTGTTACTTTAATTTGCATTACGGCATTGAAATGCCCAATACTCAATATGGAAATGACGACAGGAAAAACGTGTATCACTACGGGTGGAAAAAGTAAAACAAATGGTAAATGGATAAATCAGAAATTTCTTTAAGGTGGATATTTCTTGCTGGTTTAAATCCAATATACAAAAGGATGTTTGCTTTAATACTAGTTCTGTAATAAAAATTCCAAATATCTAATTACTCAAACAAATAGAAATCTATTTAATACCAATGGTAGACTTTTAGTCCACCATCATCTGATGGTGGGCTATTCAAATCACCCTGCGTCTGTGGTTCATCGTCCGTCATCCTTCCTTAAACAATTCTTGTTATCGGTATTGCTCAAGAAGTATCAGAGGGATCTTTCTCAAATTTTATATGTAGGTTCCCATTGGTCCTTAGCTGTGCAGGGCAACTTTTGAGACTGATCAGATAAACAACATGGCCGACAGGCAGCCATCTTGGATTTTGATATTGAAAGTTTGTTATCGCTATTTCTCAAGAGGCACCAGTACTGTACTAGTAAATATGTGAAATGACAAACTCACTTTGAAGGTTGGCTTTCATACACATCAGTATTAAGTTTAGATCAAAAGTTACCTCAAGGTGCATTTACTGTTAACATTACTCGATCAAACAGATTAGAGGAAAGAAGAAAGATCGAACTGACAAAGAACTAATGAAGATGGTACAAAGGTGGGCGCCAAGATCCCTATGGGATCTCTTGTTAAAAACTGGTTTAGCATTTTCAATCGTAAAAAAGTAAAAGTACATTGTAGCATTTGATATTGTTCTTGCACTGAGTCAGAACGAGCATTATGCGGTTTGGGTGGGTTCCTGATATAAACGAGCGTACATATGACCACAGACACATGAACGCTGTTTGGTACACATGTATTGAAATGAAATTATGTAGTTGCACACCAGCAATACATGTGATGTAACATATAAATAATTTCCAACTGCTTTTGTAATTTTCGAAAATCGTCACCCTAACTGCCTGCAGTATTAGAGTGAAATTGGGCGATATGTCTCTATAATTTTTGACAGCTGACTTAACTGATTCGGCACACTGTGGCTCAGTGAGTTGTTGACAGCTGACTTAACTGATTCGGCACACTGTGTCTCAGTGAGTTGTTGACAGCTGACTTAACTGATTCGGCACACTGTGTCTCAGTGAGTTGTTGACAGCTGACTTAACTGATTCGGCACACTGTGTCAGCAGTTCAGAGTCGAGACCGGTCATTTACTCATTGATTTAAAGAGGAAAAAGGCGTTTTTGAAAGCTCTCAAAATAAGTTTTCAATTACTGTTTGTGTTCAAAACAAACTTAGCCTTTACTGTGCTGTATAAGTTTGACTTATGAGCTTTCGAAAACGTCTGTTTCGTTTTTTCAAGAAAAATTGCAAACTGTTCATGTACAAAAACGAATTTGGCATAAATTATTATTCATACCGAATTGATGAATTTCATTCCGAATTCTATAAACCTTGATTGGATTTCATTTCCTTCGTCTATCAAATTGATTTATTTCATACTGCTGTTTGCTAATGATTGTCGTAAACTTTAATGCTTTAACGGCCAATGCTCACCACAAGAAGACCAAAACAAATTATTTGAAACGGAGACACAGACTACCCGGCTGCTGGCTGAAATACAAAAAACTTGAAACACATTCTTTGAAACCACTTAATAAACGTTTAAAAAATATTTGCAAACAATTGTTTGTGAAAACGATTGTGTAAATGGAAAGACTGAACTCTTACGAAGCCGATTTTGCTTGCTTTTTCCGCTCTTGAACTCCTGAAATGATTTGGGACAACAAATCTCATACCCTTTCAACAAGTTTAGGACAACGAACCTTTACATGAATACATCATGATAATGTGTAGGCCTAGATCGTTTCATTTTCCTTGTACCTTTCTTTGTCATGTATCTGATACGAAAGGAAGACTTCCGTTCTAGCTTGGCTATACATTGTACTGATTTTTGCAACTTCTCTAGAACTATGTGTTGGATATCAACCATATTTGGAAGCTACTTAAAGGGTTCTCCAGACCTATCTGAAATCAACCGTGTTTGGTTGGTGGCATCACCAGGTCCATTGATGACTCAAAAATCCGGGCACAAAAGGAGGGTACCCCTCCGAGAGGGTCGAAGAAGGGGGTTGGGGCAAAAAGCGGGCAATGATATATGAATATGTACGTCTCTGGTGATATCATACGTTCTCGATTAAAACGTAAAAATCTTGACGTTAAAATAAAGTATTTCCATTTGCTCTGCATTGCCACTATATAACCTTTCCAGACAAAATAGACATATCCCATTTGTGTAGTGATATTAACAACATGTTCGCGACGTTGATTTGACCGTTGTCACTATATTAAGTGTATTATTGACGTCACGAAAAAAATGTCGTAATACGCATTCCTCATGGTAACCCATCGGTGCTACCGGAATTGAAAAAAACAATCGATCAATGTAACTCGCAACAGTTTATCTAGTTATGTTGTAAGGTGAATATCCCCACGGTGGAATATATATGGATTAAATTGTTAAATTGATGATTTTGTGTTAATTTCCACGTTCATTTATTTTTTTGCTGAGAACGGCCGTTTGTATGACGACAAAAAAACAGGTCCAATTGGCAGACAGCGTGCAATTTGACTTTGAAATGCGATAACAGGTTGGAAATTTAAGAAAAACTTCTCACATAATTTCTATTGGTGTAATGCGATGTAGATGTAGAGCATGTCCGTGACGTCATGACTAAATTACGTCGTTTTAACCGACGTCACTATATTAAAGTGTATTATTGAATTGACGTCACGAAAAATAACGGTACGTACTCCTCGAGGTCACCCATCCGTGCTACCGGATTAAAAAAACCAATTGATCAATGCATATGTATCTTGCAACAATTTATGTATAGTTATGTTGTATAAAATGTGAAAATCCCCACAGTGAAATATATTGATTAATTAATTGAAATTAAATTGATGATTTTGTGTTTATTTCAACGAACTATATTTTTTTTGCAGGGAACGGTCGCGTGTACTCGTGACGTCCTGAACAGGTCCCATTGACAGACAGCTCGAAATTTGACTTTGCAATGCGATGACAGGTTGGAAATATGAGAAAAACTTCAATTAAAACGGAAATATAAGTATTCAACTGCCTTATTTGGAAAGTTTTATTTTCCTATAATTCTCACAGGATTGATAAAAATAAATAATAAATAATAATAATGATAACGCGCCAACGCGCGTTATTCAATTTGTCTGCAATCCTTTGAGAAATTATAGATAGGACCTTTACAAAGACAGCAGTTTAATGCTTTAAAATAAGCATCAATTACCATGGGGGTTTTCCAGCTTTTTTCAACAGTTATTAAGTTTGTTCTGAAACACCACTCGAGTGGGGCCAGGCGATTTTCCTTCAGTCGCGTTAATGTATATGGCATTAGAAGTAAACTCCAAGTGCTAATGTTAATACATCAATTTTAAAATATAAATAATTCGAATGTAATGTGAAGAATTTATGATCGATTGCATAAAAATCACAATATCGGAATATATTTTGTTTATGAGTTATTCCGGAATATAAACGACGATGATCTTGCCAGTTATTATTGAATCTGTCTGGTTTCCGGCTAAAATAAAATGGCTGCCTCCATTTAGACGAACGCCTAGACGAAGGAAAAGCTACCAAAAATGTAACGTCGTAAGTACTTTAATAATAGGACACTGTATATATCCCAAATCTAACAAGTTTAAAAATATGTCTTTTTGTCAGACACAAACTAAGTTAAATCTGGTTTAAATGGGCAGTCCTTTGGCTTTACGTAACCAGCTGGCTTACAAAACAGTCAAGGCTGCAGCAAAACGTATGTATGTATGAAGTGTCCATTTAAACGTGATTTAATTATTGAATTAGGGTGCAATATCAAAACCCCGTAAGAAAAATATCAGACAAGTCAACCTATAGTTTCTAACTTGAACCTACCGGCACTCCACAAGTAGAAAAGAGATGTCAACATACATGTATAATAACAATAATATGAAATAGGTGAGACGAAGTCAGCGGGCACACATGAAAATACAGTTTTCTGCTTAATTTAACTGTTTCATTTTATGTACAGTCGGAAGAATAGTTCTGTATCTATATGGACTACACTGCTAGATCCCAATTAAGGTAATATTGCAGCAGGTGAGAGAGCGCAGATGTAATAAATCGTGCGATTCGGGTGCTGATTTAAACGCCTCGAGAGTGTCACAATTCACAATTGAGTCACTTAGGTGGTTCCGGCAGACTATGGTTGTTCTTACTAGGAACGAGTCCCTGTACTGTTCAGACCTACTTAATGGAACGATGAAACTCTGTTGTTTAAACGGGCTGAACAGTCGACAAGTCACAATGTTGGTGGTATCAAAGTCAGTATATGATTTGGCATGGATGTTCCTGCCTTGTTTATGGGCTTTCAGGTATCTTGGAGGTGGCATGGCTGGCACCAACCCCTCAACGACTTTGTAGTAGTAAGCCAGCCTGATGTTGCGGCGCCTCTCCTGGAGTAGTGGTAACTTCATGCTCCTCGAGCATTGATGTACTCCATCCCGGGTCTCCATCTGGTCTTGCAGTCTCCCAAGATGAATCTGGCGGCTTGGTGTTGCACTCGCTCAATTTTGATTAAGTCTGTGGTGTAATATATGGGTCCCACATGACTGTACGGTACTCTAGAATGGGGTGTATGAGTGATACATATGCACTGCATCTGCTAGATCAGTAGATGGTGGGCAGCTCTGCAAGTTCCTACGTAGGAAGCCTATGGTCGAATTGGCTTTTTTGGGTTTTTTTGTTATCTATGTGAATGCAACACTTTAGATCCTCTGAGATGGTGATACCAAGGTAAGGGTTAGATGGAACCTGCTGGAGGATGGTGTTGTCCAGACTATATAATTCAATGGAGGTACCATTCTATAAATATAGGGGGGGGAGGGGGGATAATAGCTATCCATCCCCAAACCCCTGCCAGCCTGTGAGTTTTTCTTTCAAAATATCAGGTAGACAATGGCAAGTTTGACCCATTTTCATTAAAGTCGTTTTGGATAGCATTTGTTAAAACTTATGTGTATTTACACCATTTGGCAGAGAAACTCCATGTCCTTCGTAAAAGTATAACAGAATGGCAAACATGTCCGTATTTGAAGAGTTATTTAACTCTTTACTGTCGAAAGAGTGTATGGCCTAATGTGCACTGCCTTGGGTTAAGTTTGGACAGAATGTCTGGTGTAAGTTCGACCCAAATTGGAATTAGAATAAGTATGACGTCATAAAGCATGCAACGTATGGCATGGGCCGAACTTGCCCCGGTGTCGTGTGATGAACCTGCCAAAAATTGATCTTTATATCATAGCAATACGAAACTCAATGCTAGGCTTTTATGTATACCATCATGTGGAGCTGTCGGTTTGTTACACGTATGACATCAATAAGTAGCATTTACTGTTTACAGAAAGATTGCAAAACTAGAGAAGTGAGGTCATGATTTTTTTCCAGAAACACATTTTTTTTCCGTATGAATGTCCTGTTCAGTGAGCTTCCCTACTAGGATCCTTTAAAGTTGTAAATATTTGCTGAATTTGCAAAAATATCAGGAGTGGCCGGAGTTACCCCAGAGTCAAACTTCCCCTATAAGTTGCCCTAATTACCCCATATTGAACCTTGCTACAATGGATCTGCCCTGCTTCGTTGTTTTCAAAGCACCTAAGAAATACTTGAAAATCAAGTTTTGGCGATATCAAATTACTCATCTAGATATCATCTGCATAGGGATATATAAATAACAAAAATCGATCTGCCGTCCATATTGGGATATTTTGTACTTCTATCTTATTTTTTTCCTTCGAATATCTTTTCTTATAATTAGCTGATAAAAAACTCTAAATGCATGAAATATATACTCTACATCAAAGATATCCATTATGTGTCCCTGTCTACAATGTGGTATAGCTGCAGAAAATGTGAGATGTACATGTATTGTCAACACTATGTGATGACGCATGTTAACAGTGACATCACAGTCACGTCACAACATGTTGTGAATGTCAATTCAGCATTTTTCAATGCAAAATATGTATGCCTGGTATATATATACGGACTTATACCTATCAACTGATGCTATTTTGAGTTAAGGACACATAGGCAAGCGCATATACTACATGGAAACAATTTTCAGTTTGAGAAAATTAAAATATAACATAATGTGTTGGACATCGAAGGATTTCATCAGTAACATCGACTTGTATAATAAGGTAGAAAGGTTTCTGAACATAAAAATATGCCGTAGATATGACAAAAATACAAGGCACTCATTGAAAATGTCATTTTTTTTGTGCAAAAAAGAAAATCAATGCAGGCATGGAGCAACGCATCTTGCTGTTTTTTGCGGGTCCGTACAACCGGAAGGATGTAACTTTTTGAAGCCTTCATATAGCATAGAACCAATTCACTCTCACTTTCCTGTACTGTCCATACATGTATGTGTTGCCATAACGGCTCACACTTCCTGATCGGTCGAGAGTACCTGCTATAAACAATGTCATAGGAAATAGGTTACTGTTATGACCTTACTATCTCATCAACATGCACTTTTGTGTTATTTTTATTTAAACACTTCAATAAATGTCACAAAATAACTAAATATATTAAATTGTATATTGCCAATTAGTGAAGGTCCCTGATTTTTCTACATGCAACACAGCCTTTGTATATTTATATGTAAAGAATCAAGTTACCCCTGATTTCCTCTAACTTTAACAACACGATGGTAAAGAGCCCACTTTACGATCGGAAACCCAGTTCACATATGAGACATGAGTAAAAATACCAAAAATTTGTTCCCATTTTAAAATGATGTGTTGCATGCATTTAATAAAGTACAGGATGTTGTATCCTCTATCTCGCCAGGCTAAAAACAAACTAATTGTTCTAATGCATGTACCAGAATGTCCTACGGTATGTCTATATCTGACTACATTAACAGGATTTATACGCTTTTAATGCTATGTGTTTTTTCTATGTTGTTAAGTTTATTTTCAGATTACTTCTGAGGTACACTAACAGAAACCAAAATAGCCATGTCACTAGTAGCCCGCCTTGGACATAGATTCAGATGTCTGGATCCCCACCATCAACCGTGTGTCTTAACCCATATTCTTCAACAGATGAGGACCAAAAGTTATCCTTTTAGAACAGCATTTCAATCAAGAACTGTCTGTTTCATTCCTAAATCAAACACAAATACAATTGTTCATAGATTACAGTCGTTGTGTAATGTGCAATGTCTTCGTCCAAGCCAATATATTATAACCAGATGTGTAGCCATGAACTCAAAGGAAAGACTTCAAGCTCAAAAAAGGAAACATATCACCTTATATCTGATGTCTATGAGCCTATTCATGCTGGGAATGGGTTTTGCTGCTGTGCCTTTGTATCGAATCTTTTGTCAGGTGAGTAATAAATATAATCATTATAGATATAACAAATGTACCTGGTAATGAAAATCCAGAGTATCATCACAACAGACTTGTTATCATGTTTCAGGAAGTGCTATTTTCTGAAACATGTCTATTTTCAATATCACAAATTAATATCATATTTTATTTGTATTAGTAGAGTATACATTTACTTATGATATGTAAGTATATGGTAAAAATTATCATTATATATGCATGCCTCAATTAGTTTAATAAAGGACTGGTATTATATGAAATAAAGGGGTGGGGTGTTATATTGGTATCTTTTTGTGGCAGACTTATGTCATTTGTGGCTCTATCACATAGTTGTGATAACATTCATTTGCTGATGTAAGCTTTTCATATAGCTTATTTATTTCAAGCATTAAATTTTATTGGCAAAATTCAATACAGAACAGATAAGCCAGAAATCATATCTTACGAGATAACCCAAGTCCCTGGATTTGTGTTCTAGTCAATTTTACCCATCTGTGACATTTTGTTTGTTCGTTTGTTGAGTGGTGCCGAATACAGACTGTTTCCCCTAGCTAAAAAGGGCCTTATTTTCCCAAAATGACCAACAATGAAACAGTCTGTTGTAAAATTTAAGTAACTTTCCCAAAATGACCAACAATGAAACAGTCTGTTGTAAAATTTAAGTAACAAAAACATATTTTTTTCCCACCGGTGAATTGTAGGCCTTATAAATGCCCCTTTCAATAGATATTTTCGGCTTTATTTTCCAAAAATCATTGCAAAAATTACGTTATTTTCCCAAAATCATTGCAAAAAATACTCTTCTCCCCCCCCCCCCCCCAAAAAAAAAACATGTTTTTTGTGTGCAGTGTTTTCCCAAAGTCACAAGCACAGGCCCCTGTTGAAAAGAGGTGAAAACCACGGCCAATGTATAAGGTGTTACTCAAGTAGATAACCACTGAGACTTAACTTGAAACAACTTGGTTGCATATCATACCGACCTGTTACTTTATATACCGATTTGTAGTGCAGTTATGTGCCTAATGCAACAAGTGTCTGTGAGTATAATACAGAATGGAGAATTACATTTCAAGAAAAAAATATCTGGTTTTCAGTTTATTTTATCAAATAGACTAAGTTTTCATAGTTGAAAAAAATCTATATACACTTGTATAAAAGAAATATTAAAATTTTATAGACACAAGGAAATTTTCAACAAAAAAAGGCGTACAGAGCCTGTATCAGTTGTATAAACCTGGATGACTATTTCAGCAATCATGGCAAAATATCCTCATTAAAAGTAGTATTGCTTACAATTTTCCAATTTTGGATTCCCATTTTCTGGTCCCAATATAAGGATGACAAACACAGATATACATGTACATGTATTTTATGAAAAAACCTAGCTTATCAGGTTTTTAACAAGTGGGTCCTGCAGCTGGTAATCATTTAATTTAGGCCACTGCTGAGCCTTTTTAAGAAACTTGTTAATGCCCCTGAATTGCTACTTTGGTTGTGTCTAAAAAGGAAATAGACAAGGTTTTCAAGTTGAAACGTGACTATAGCTAGATTGTAAAACACCAACCACCTTGAAGGCTTCTCCCATACCCTGAGTAGATTGTGCTTTCAAAACTAGGGTATCATCATGGTATTGTTTATTCTTAAACAGGACACTAGGAGAATACAGAAAGGCCAAGAGTTTTCAGATAATAATTATTGTTGATCTATTTTATGTAAAGGAGGCTCAATAATTAGACCAAACAGTGAGTTGGAAGAAGGTATATTGTTATAGTTGGTTCTGTACAGGAATTTGGAAATGGAGACAAAAGTGAGTTTTACGTGGTTCACAAGCTATAGCATCATTAATGACTGCTATATTAGAGGCTTGATAGAGAGCTAGCAAGAGGTAGTGTTGGGATTACCCATATCATCATTGTTGTTTATTTCTGTACAGGCAACTGGAATCGGGGGCAAGGCAGTACGAGGACATGATGTAGACAAGGTGGAAGAGCTGAGCAAAGTGGAGGATCAAGTCATCAAAGTGATGTTTACAGCAGACAAAAATTCATCCCTCAGGTGGAAATTTACACCACAGCAGAGTTTTGTGAATGTATGTAGTTCTATATACTGTAAGGGTACTTATATTAACACTCTCAAATTTTAGCAGAACAAATAGGGTAGGACATATTAGTGCACTCTTAAATTAGTGGAATCATAACACCTACATTCATTATTCAGTACATAAGTAATTTTCTGATATATAACATATACTGTGTATGGTTACAAAGCCTGTAGAACGTCAAACCAGATAAATCAGGTGAATAACTTCTTTCATATGTATGCAAGTAAATAGTTATTTACTGTCCTGTGAAATCTGGTATCTTATTTAATTCTCTCGGAATAATGAAAACCTGAAATGAACAGAACTAGAGAATGTATAAGACAGGGAACCCTCTCCCCTTGCTGCTAAAGTTGGTTAACTGATATCAATGAATCTGTTGACAAAATAGCAATTGTTGACTTATAAACATCAACAGATATCTAAAAGTTGGCTTTGCATCTCTGGTATTCTCATAAAACTTCGAGGGAACCTGTTAAGAAATAATGTCAGTAGAACAGTGAAGTATTTTGTAATGGGATCTGGAAATTTTAGACAATATTTAGTCCTATGTTTTTATTTTTTCTAGGTTGCTTTAGGAGAGACTGCCCTTGCATTTTACACAGCTGAGAACCCTACAGATGAACCCATTGTTGGTGTGTCAACGTACACAGTAAACCCTATAGAGGCTGGTCTATATTTCAACAAAATCCAGGTAGAGAATTATCTCCCCTTGATCAGATGTCACCATACATAATATAAGTAACCACATGTACTAGATGTAAGAAGTTGATTGATGACATGTCAGACTGGTGGTGTACAAGTTAACATTAATAAGGTCTGCATCAGACTGGTGTACAAGTTAACATTAATAAGGTCTGCGTCAGACTGGTGGTGTACAAGTTAACATTAATAAGGTCTGCTCCCATACAAACTCAGTTACCTTGTACTGTATCTAATCACATTACCAATATTCAAAGAAAAAATACTTCAGTCCTTAAAAGTTGTACATCGTAGTGTTAGATTAGAAAGATCCCTGGGAAGGCTATGAAAACAGTTACAAGACAAAATTACAAAGACAAGAATATTTCGATTTTTATTAAACCAAAATAATTGTATATTTTCTTCTGTCACCGTTGTGGCATTGTATGTGGATGTGAGTTTGTTGTCATGGCAATAAACATAATGAAGATGAATAATAACTAAGCATTTTGATGTATACAGTATAAGGTTGTGTGGGTCATCAAACACACCTTAGTGGTAGGAGGTATCAGTCGCCTTGGTAACCAAGACTGTAGAGTTCAACAAAACAGAAACATTTACTCCGTTGTTATCGTAGCCTATCTGTGTTAGTGAATTGCCTTTGTTTTCTCTCCAGACCAATCATTACTACTGGTGCATTTGTTTTTCTTCAGATATAAACCTTCTTAAAAGTTACCTTCTGGAAACCTATCAATAACTGTTAGTGAATTGCCTTTGTTTTCTCTCCAGACCAATCATTACTACTGGTGCATTTGTATTTCCTCAGATATAAACCTTCTTAAAAGTTACCTTCTGGAAACCTATCAATAACTGTTAGTGGATTGCCTTTGTTCTCTCTCCAGACCAATCATTACTACTGGTGCATTTGTATTTCCTCAGATATAAACCTTCTTAAAAGTTACCTTATGGAAACCTATCAATAACTTTGTGTTGATTACATGCGTATGTAGAGCTTACAAAAATGAAATAATCTTGTTCATTGTTCAGAATGGAAATCCTCTTAGCAAATTTCGGAAGGTAAAGTTGGATTTCAAGTATGACATTCTGTCTAGCATACCCAAGAAAGCATAATTATAATTTCTTTGTTTTATTGTTTTCAGTGTTTCTGTTTTGAAGAACAGTTACTGAAGCCACATGAGAAAGTAAGTGTTTGATTTCTATTTAATATTTGGACTTGGTCTTTGTTACTCTAAAAGCAACTTCAGAATTTGCAATAGTATATTACATTTATGCATAATTTAGCAAAATTCAATTCCTGACTTATTGTTTTCAATGGATTTTACCTGTGACAAACACCTTAAAATAGTCAATTTTTTATATAATAACATACATATGGTGGAGACGCTGGTTGTTAGTGTGAATTATCTCCCTTCTGCTGTGTTTAGCAAAGTTCTTTTTATGCAACCAAATAAAAAATTTGTGTAAAATGTGTATAAGTTGTCCACACAACCGAAACAGGCTTCTTTGTGCATACTACATTACAGTACTGGTCATTTTACTAACGAAGGTGACAGTGGACATATCGTACTAGTCATCGAAATGTCACATAGAACATTTTATTGGTTGTGTAAAAAAAAAATCTTTATTGTCCATACTAACCAACCTGAAGAAAATGTTTAGAAATATTAGCAAAGGTCTGTTTAAAAATAATAATAATCTGCAAATATAGATAATCTTTTTACGTTTATGAAGGCTATTTATAATCTCCATCTTTTAAAAATATTTGCATGTTGGTATTTTGTCAGATTAGATAGGTACTGGGTACCTAAATAGTCATTCTGATTGTTGTTTCGTGAAAACATGTTGCTTATTAATCACATGATGATCAAAGACTCATGACAACCACTGTAGTGTGTGCTACTTGTGGTCTAAAGAAACATTTGAAGAAAAGGATACTTTACCTTCCTTATTTATTGTTGTTGTTATGCATGTAATAAACATTCTGTATTGAGGATAAAGTCATGTTCAGCCATGGGCTAATCTTCCACATGGTCCTCATCAAAAAGGAAGAACTTGTATACAAATACGTATTTACATACTTACATAATGTATGAATTGATCATAAAACAACAAAGTTTCAGTAGAACTTGCACAGAGATGTTCTATATATTTCATGTTCATTTAACATAATTGGTAAATCGTTCCTGTGTGACATTTCAGGGACATTAATACCAATATGTGTACCGTGTTGACCCTCACTTGTCTGATGGAGGTATCACACTTCCTATTGTACTGAAGTTATCCGTCGCACATAACTGGCAGGGCTATATGAACCTGTATACAATATTTATTAACCAGTCTGTAGAAAATGTTTTAAAATATAGCACAGGAGGCCGATATAACTACCACTTTGCACATATTGGATCTATTTGTGATGTCACAGCTGTACAAACTTTACCTTTGTCATATCTGATTGTCATGAAACTTCACATGGCTTCATATATATAGCTCTACAGACTTAACATGTTATTTAATTTGTCTGCTTTATTTGTTTAACGAGGATTACGAACAGCCCAAGGTCTATGAGTCGCTTTCCTCATATAATATTAGTTATATAGTCAGTTACTGACCCTCTACAGAAGCCCTCGCCCCCTATAAATCTTACTGACCCTCTATGGTTCTGTAGAGGGTCAATAACTGACTATATAACGAATTTATCGCATCGAGGACCCTTTTGCGTTTGGGCAGACTGACTGTTTAGTCGCTTCTTGTCTATTTCTTCCGTTGTCGTCTGCCCAAATCTCTCCATGTTGTTGTTGTGCTGTTGTCTCTCAATGTCACCGAAACGCTTAGATAAGGGGACGGCACCCACGCTAAAACAAAAGACGGTCGCTTGCGACAGCGTCTTACTAATTTTGCCTGGCGTAGGGGAAGCAACTCCTATCATTTTACGATACAATGTAGCGAATGGGAATTACGGTGAGCATTGTATCATTTTCAGAATATTCAGGTACCCGGTATCTGTTGTTTTAGTTTTGAAGCGGTGAGCAGTGGGCGGCCATATTGCCNACATGTTATACAGAAGAGGTATTTTTTCTTGTATGAATAAAATGTCCCTGTGCAGTTTTATCACATTTTCCTGTTATTCTATGGTTTGCTATTCTGGTGCTGTATAATGCGATGTCCATGACATTACAAAGATGATTTCTATATAAAACTGTTTATCATACAGGACATGGTACTGAAAAATATCCATTTCAATTCAATCTACCGGTAATTGAAATTAGATCTTAAAATCGCAAGCATTATGGTCAATAACCTTTGTTAATGTAGTAAGCCAATAGGAAAAACATAAGGAGGGACCATCTTTGTTTTCATCAGAAGCCAATAAAAAAGTATTAGGAGCTGGTCTTAAAGTTGCATTTGATTAAAATCTTGTCTGAAGCACTTGTGTTTTAACATTACTCGGGAGATAAAATTTGAGGGTGAAGGGCCTGTATAAGCAGTGAGTGAGAGGTACCGTCAGTTATGTGTAACGTTACAATAGAGGTTGAGGAGCCTACTGCCCTGTTATCTCTGTTTGTGTTAACAGGTGCTTCAACTGATTAATTAGAAGTCAGAAACCTGATTGTCTTATTTTTCCTGTAGTAGGTTAAAAAACTTTACAGAGACAAGTTTTTGATAAGAGTACTAACTGTGTATCTTGTCCATCACTGGTTAAATCCCTATTCACCCAGTTTTGCTCTTCACATTAGTTATTATATATATGGCATACTAATGATATTCACATGTAAAAATATAGAGGCATATATAAAACTGCAGTGAAAATTGACCTGTATACATTATAAAAAGAAAAGAAAAATGTGCAGCAAATTTTCATACTCAACCTTGTACTTTTCGTTGGTAAACTGTAAGTATTTAGGACAGGAACAAATGGATATACATGGTTCTTGTACATTAAGGTCATAGGAAAGTGTAACCAGACAAATTTTAATGCTAGGAGAATTTTAAAAGTTTGAACAATTCTCTAATTCTGTGGAACAATATCATGTTGTATCTCTAGTGAATAATCTTTTGTAATTCAGCTAGTTTTAAAAAAAAAAAAATGCCTTATGATAAATGTTTGAGAAAAGCATAGTGCCTTGTAATATATCGTTGAGAGTGAGTTTGGCTGTTGGTTCGAGGAACTTTTGTCCTCCGCTGTCTGGGAGTCTGACTAGGAAGTGATGCTATCTATCTCACTGTGGACCAACTGACAACAGTGTACATAGTAATACAGGCTACGTCATCAACAACCAATGAGGGACTGTAGATCAAAACTTCAAAATCAGCACGGGCTCAAACCTCATGCCTCACTTCTTTAAGATATCATCTTACTCAAGATAAAAACTAGTTGGTGCTGCCAAGTTTTCAGACCATTACCAGAACAGTTTTCCTTGAGTGACTTAAAAAGCCAAATATTTCACAGATTTCCTGACGGCCGAGACAGAGGCATGATGGAAAAAATGGGATATCTACAATGAATATTTGGAAGATTACTAGGTCCTTCTGTGTCATATCTTCTAGTTAAGAATTAATTATAACCAGGTGCTTATTTTTGAAAAAAAATTATAATTATACACTTACTGCAAACCTTGATAATTACAATAGAACCTTACAATTAAAGCAACATGTGGCTCATTTTAAATAGATTCTTTGATTTGATATACATGTAATATTTATTTTGAAAGTCATTTTAAAACAACAATACTATAACTGAAAAGGTCAGAATGTTTGTTGAAATATTCTGGCCTTTTGCACATTTTCTTGAAAAAAAATCATATTTGATATTGCAATAATCTTGATTCTATGGTATTCCATACTTACCAAGCTGCCACATATGGAAGTGGCCCAACCTTCATATTATGTCATCAACAGGATTGGTTTTATGTTTTTTTATTAAAAGTTCCAATCCGTTTTATGTCTTACAGCAAACAAATTATCACCAGACAGTTTACCTTTATTCCAGTACATCCCTAGTAGAGTGTATACGTACCTTAATTAGCTAGTACACATACCTCCAATGGACTTTAATAATTAATGTAACTTCTGCGGTATGTTCTGGATGCCATTCAGTGTTAATATTCAGCTCAGAATACCAATAGACTTCTTGAAAGGTGAATTTGAAACAAGTTTCAATTTCCTGATCTTCTTCGAGCACTAATATTTGAATCCAATGACAGTTCCAGTAAGTGTTAGGATTTCTCAGTAAACCATTGCTACATCTAAATAGTTTGCTTTTGCAGCAACAGTTGAGTTATATGACAATGTTATTGAAGGGTAAGTTTATTTGGAGAACAAAATTGGATTCATTAGATTTGCTTATTGTGGTTTATAAGAGTCGTGAGTAAAATAAGAATTTGAATTGTGAAAATCTCACTTAGAAGCTTGGACACCACTCTCATGGTATGGACAATGTAAGATTTGGTATTGAGCCAAAGATAAGTTGTGAAAGTACTTTATATACTGTACATATTGTGGAGCTGACCTTCCGAAGAGAGAAGATTGGTCGACAAGGGAGATAAATAATATATGAGATGTCAGTTAATACTGTACTATTGACCATAAAGTGTAGCCCACGGATCATTGGTACTGGTATACATTATGTATAGGACAGTGTGTGAAATTAACTATAGTTCTTATTTTATGTTTGGAAAGGGAAGAATGATAGGACATCTCAGGATCAGGAAGAACTTGACGTGTACTTAAAAGTTTAACCGTGTATTGTTACGCTCACTTGATATTGTAACACTTTCTCCGGGTATTTGATCACTTCCCTGTGTATGGTACATACAGTTAAACACCTTGTTATCATACTTACACAAACTTTTTGATACAGTCAATGTTTCCAAGGCTTTATATACAATCAGCCCTCACATTCTCTATACTGAATCGACCACATCCTAAGGCCAGACCCTTTATCATAACTCTTCATCACACTCCTTTAGAATACCTCTAAAGAATATATGGGATAAATAGAATGTAATAGATTTATTTCCAAGACACTCCCTGCTTCAGCCAATACTTTGCTGGTCCTCCTGCTCATATTGTGGTTTTGGGGTGATAATGGGATCATAGTGTTTACAGGAGAACAATGTGATATGGAAAGTCTTATGAGATGTTGCACTGTATATGACGAGATACTTTATTCCAAGGACGAAGG